GATCTACCCCTCCATCACCATTTACCTGGCCCTGTAGTTCCAAGACCTCACACCTGTTATTCAAGGGCAACTGGGAAGGAGAAAGGGATTGCGAGGGTTTTCACTCACCTCTCCGAGGTGGGACCTCCCTCCATACCTCCTTGTCCCTTAAGTTCACTCCTTCTATCTGATGGTAGGAGGAAAGGGGATCTATCACTTGTTCAACCACTTCCCTTGCCTTAGGGTGTGGCTCCACCACTCTATTTCACTTTCACACTCTCTGATGGCTCTCAGCCTTTCTACCTCCTCCCTCAGTTCAGCCACCTGCCTGAGCAGATCATTTATTCACTCACACCGCACACAAGCAGTGCCACTGGCTCTCTCCAGTACAAGCGCCGGGCTCGGGCATTTACTGCAGCCAGAGACCTGCACGGCCGCATGCCTGCAGGAAGGCTCAGTCTGGGTACCCAGGTTATTCATCACTGCAGCTTTTGATCTTGCGGTGACCATGATCTATGTGGCCGATCAGTCCATCTACGTCTCTTTGCACAACAAGCAGTCCTTCCTCCTCCTGCGCTCCAGTCGAGTCCTCTCGATCAGGCGGCCACCCTGCCCGCGCAAGCTGCCTCACCACGCTCCGGTTCGCTCGCGCTCCCTGGGCAGGTTTTCAACCACTCGGGGCTGGTGCCGCTGCTCCTGGCTCCGCCCCGTGTGAGTCAGCTGAGCTGCCGGCTCCCGGGCAGGTCCTGTCGAGGCCTTGAGGCTCCCTCCTCGGTGGCTCTTGTCGCTCTGAGGTGAGGCTCCTGGACGCTGATCTCGCCCCACTCCGCTCCGGTGTTGCAGGCGTCATCTCTCATCGGAATCTAATTGGCCCCTGGAATACCGGTATTATACATTTGTGTCTAGGTTGTAATCAAGCCACATCTTCAGGTAACATGTTATGAATTTAAAGGCTCAAATCTGTTGTCAAATACCTGGTGAGCATGCTGTGATTAAGAAATAAAAAGTATTTGTTTACTTTCATCTGAACAACTCTTCTTTCTCTGCTGACTGTGTTATGTGCTGAAGAAATTCCAACCCAACTATCAATTTAACCCCCCAAATGTCACAAGTTTCTGTAGAACACTCTTTATGCAGACTTTGTCTTTCCAGTGCGGTAAGAGTTAAGGAGATGGGATGTGCTGGCTTCTCGGGTACCAGCCTGCACTCCTATTCTGGTGATCCCAAACCCCTCAGGCCACGGGGGGAAGCCCTAGAGACTGGGTTGTGTCTTGTTTGCATGCTTGTTTTATCCTAGATGTGGGGAAGAATCACACTGTTGTTGAGGGCTGGTTCTGTCTTTCTGTGGAGGCACACTACCTGCCCCTGCCATGATTAGTTTATTATCCCAACACAGGGTATTGTTACTGGGACTGGAATATGGCTGCACAAACTTTATTTTTTCATTAAACTAAACAAATGATACTCAAAAGGTACATTAGGATCCAGAAGGGACATTACTATTTTTTAGCCAATTTTCTAAATTGTAAAAGTATGAGGAGAAGCATTATAGAGCTATAGCTTAAAACTGTGCTGGCAGAAGAATTTAAATGTTGTCCAAAATTAACAAATCCAAGCTGCTATTTCTTCCAGAGCTTAGATTGTATAATTTATTTTTCATTTCCAGCATGCATAGGTAGCACATTCTATGAACTTTCCTGCCACAGAAACTCCTGAAACATTTTATTTGTTATTAAACTTAATTCTAGAGACTATTATTAAAGCATGATTAACACATATACCAGGGTGAGGGTATAGTGCACTTTTATTGGGTAGCTAGGAGCTGGTGCTTAGTTTTCCCAGATTACAAGGACTCAGTCAGCAGAGGTGTCCATGGACACTTTTATTCCCAGGAATCTGCTGGCTTTCTTCTGTGGGGTTTCTCGTGTGTGCCTGCGTCTGCAGAGTTTGGACTGTGGTATGTAATAGTCTGACAGAGGGAAAGTGCCACTTGCCTCAGTGTACTGGCAGGTGAGGATAATGGGCAGAAGAGGAAAAACCTTTCCTCAGGGCTGTGTGTGCCAAGGCAGATGTCCCCTTAGCTCAGCACTAGGAGAACCGGAGTGGTAAAAGCTATGCTTGTTCCCTAAGCCAGCACAGCAGGCAGTCACATGCTTTATTTCATTAGCAACACAAGTATTAATGATCCTTTGAACTAAGGCAATGTGGAAAATGCAGACAGCATGTGGGCACCAGGCTGCCAAACGTGCAGATGAAAGGTCTGTTCATGCCCTCCCTGCCTGCATCCAACCCATGGCAAACCCAGCCCCCTCAGCATTCCGGAAATGCCCAGTTACCTCCTAATATTTGCTGCTAATATTATCTGCAGGGAATGTTCGCTGCATACTCTTCAGACATCTGGGGACCATTTTATCCTGCCAGCTGTGCTACAGACCCTGCATGTCTGTGGATGCAGCATGCACAGCGGCTGCTGCAGCCTGCCTGGGAAGGCACTGGTGGCTCTGTCAATGGCAGGGACCAAGCCATGTGGCACCAAACTTAGCTGAAGAAAGGAGGAAAGGGAAGCGGGATTAAACACCTCTGAAAAGCTGTTTTTGCACGTGAGGAAACAGATGATGATACTTCCGATGCTACTTGTGCTGTTCACAGCCCTGTTTTCATTTAAAGTTTTCAGCTAGGTAGGTTGAGCAGTTACTCACCTCCACAAAATAATAAGGTTAATCTCAAACTGAATTTCAGCCTCAGTCTCAAAATGTTATCTTGTGTCAGCATGTGAATGACCAAAGCATTACTTCTTGTCACAGTACCAGAAAGGGAGGAGGATGGTAAATTTCCCCTCTACTTACCCTGTTTTGACAATGCGTGATTTATGTCAGCTGAAGGGAGTCTGAAGATACATCAGCATCTTACTTTTTTTCCATCCAACCAACTGTGTTGGCAAGTCAATTTGGAAAAGCTAAATTATAAGCAGTAGACCAGAGATGGAAAAGTCTTTATTAGATAAAATAGGCAATGCAGGGTACAGCTCTCTGCCTGAGAACTTATCTGATGCCAGGCTGACAGTATTCTTGCCCAGCGGAAATTATTAGTCTTTGAAAGAGATATGTAGTGAAACACATTAAAAATGGCAGCATGGAAGATGTCTGTCTGCTCATCAGTTATCACAGGTAGCTGCACTGCACTGTCTGACAACTGTGAAGGAAAGCCACCCGGAGCTGGAGAAGTGCCAGCCTTCAGGACAGATCACAGAGCGTTTCTGCTGTCAGTGCCACGTTCCCTATAGGTGGATGTGACTAATCATAGAAATAGGTGTGCAGGGTGACACTGGCATAACTAGTTTTCAAAACTCTCAGGGATCACTGAGTGTACATATGCAATTTTATCCAATTAACCAAAATTAGTTTTGTGCATTGCATTCCCGGGGTGGCTTTAAGGCTTTAGGGATAAAGACTGGAATGATCACTCCAGTTCAGCAGGCTGTTAGGGTTTGGAGCCCTGATACAGCAAGGTACTTCAACACATGTATGAATTTAAGCTTTTGAGAAGTCCTGCTGTTGACAGTGGGACTACTTAGGTGCTTTAACTGCTTAAATGTTTTCCTGAATATGACAACACTGAATAAATGTAGTGCTGGTCTAGAGCTTTTAAATGTCACGTCAGGCAGAGCAAACACTGTTAACGAACACCAAGTTCCTGTCAAAGGGTACCATGCTTCTCCGGGGCAAGGGAAATTCTGAAGTGGTGCTGCTGTGTGGGAGCAAAGTCAGATCTGACTGTAAGTCACTACACACTTACCTTTCCTTGCTGCAGAGTCTGCCTCTCATCTCCTCTTTGGTAGCAGCTTTGTATTACTTCCCCTTATTAGAAACAAAACCCCCAAAAGCAGCTCACAATCTAAGCTCAAATTCTTGCAATTCTTATGCAGCTTCATTCAAATTAGGGGCCATCAGCATGTCCAAGATGTATTGATCTGGTGAGGAACCTCAAAGGCTGCAAAATCCAATGACAATTCATTTTTTGTTTCAACAGATTGAGTCAGAAGCCAGGGAGGGGCAGGGGTGGAACATTTCCATGGTTGATATTGCATTCATGAATCCAGCCCTTTGTTCAGCTGGGAGCTGCACGCTGACAAATGTGCTGTTTCCTGAAAGCTGTAACATCTTTGTCTGGTGTCCAGGTGCAGGAAGCAGGGTACAGACTGGGGCAGCCTTCTGCTAAAAAGGATTTTTTTTTTAATCATTTTAAGATTAAGAAACCAACCCAAAATCTCAGGACATGCTTAAGATCAAAAGGACTTCAGCTCAAGAAAATATCAGAGCCTCTTTTCATCCCACAGCCAGCCATCTTTCTCCACTAACGAAGCCTGGTTGAATCAGCTATTATCTATCTTCTTTTTTTATAGATGCTGCCTTGTTTTTTTTCTTTCTGAAATCTTTATGATCATTAAGTCTACTGCAAGCTACAGATTAAGTATTTGTGTGTGTATTGAGATATCATGTCAGCCTTCTCCTTGGCTGTGATTGACAGAAGGCCAGTTTCATGGCGCTGGCAATTAGACAAGAATGGTAATACCCCGAATGCTGAGTTCTCACGTATTGTCGCATTAGATCATTTTACCCTTGAATTGCCTCAAGACCCACACTAACATCCAGTCAGCCTATCAGTTTCCTACTGAAGTTCCCAGCTTCAAAATCAATAGGAGATAATCAGAGGGTGGTAGGGTCCCATGGAATTTGACAGCTTAGTCTTGAAGCACCGCATGCACCTCTTAGCAGGGAAACATGGGACTCAGCTTCCAATAAAAGTCATTTTTCAATATCATGTTAGATCTCAAAAATGGAAGCAAAATTGCTTGATGTTGACCTAGTAATTTTTTTAGAGAACAGAAGATTCTTTTGGGGTGTTTTAAATAAGAATGGAGAAGATTGGAAACAAAACTCTAGATCATACGTCTTAGACATTAGCTTAGTCACTGCTGGTACAACTGTAGAAGAAAAACTGTCCTTCCCTCTTCACCTTAGCCTGACCATCTGCACTGCAGAAAGCCATTTGTCTGACTGCCTTTTGATTCAAACCCCATAAGCACTACCCACAGTAGCCTATAGAGCAACGAGTCGATGTCTGAGCTCTCCAGCGCTTGGACCAAAAATGTGTCTTAATTACTGACTTACAGAGTCCTTTTCTTTCCCCAGTCAAAGTGTCTTTTTCTGCTGAGTGCTATAGCTCTGTCAGGACATGGAGAGCCAATCCCTCTGGAATGTTCGGTGGCTTGGAGCTTCACCTGACAGGGAAAAGAGCCTGGTTATAATTTTTATTCCAAAATAAGCAGATAAAGCTTGTATACCTAAGTGTCAGGCACTTAGGATTGTGCTTTATCCTTTGAGCCACTGTGGACAGAAGGCCACTCCTAGAAAAAAAACAAGGTGGCTTGGATATGCCAAAATTTCAACATTCCTTCTTTTTTCTTTTTTTTTCTTCTTTTTTCTTTTTTTTAATTAGGTCATAAGTATTTCTCTGATTCAACTTGAAATGGAAAACAGCTTCCTTTGATCTGAAACTCCATTCTTCTGCAAATACACACTTTTTAAAAGAAAAAACAGGCCTACAGAGAAGTAGCTAATGTGTTTTTACAGCTGTACCTCTTAAAGGACCCATTCTCAGCCCAAGTATGATGCAGCACTCAATGAAGTTAACACAAAGCCACCAAATTAAATGGCTCTTGGACAAGCTATGAAACTCCCTGCAGATAGCATATAACAGGATTTCAGAAATAAAATGTAGCCAATTGTAAATCATGGCAAATCATAAAATCAAAACAAAATACGTTCTTGTGTTTTGTCACACTACTGTTTTGCTACCTAGTTTCTGACCAGTCTCAGAGAAGCAGACTGGGTGTTAGGTGTTGGGAAGAGCTGGGCTGTAACTCCACTGCTTATCCAGGTGTGCTGGGAGGTGGATATTCAACTGTCATGGCTATCTGTGACAGTTACAGCTTTCTTAAATACCCTCCTTGAAGGAAACCATGCACACGGTCCTGGTGTTCTCAGCAAGAAAGAGCACCACCACCACACAGGGAGGGAAAGGATGGTGCCCCACAGCAGTGAGAGAAGCACAGCTGGTGAAGAAGGGCTGAGGGTGACAGTGAAGACTCCGAGATGAGGGTGAGTCTGGGAGGGAAGGAACAGATGGGAACAGTTTCCAGTGCTGAGTGAGATTCTCCCACCTTGCTCGTCAATGGCCATGGTGAGTCTCCCAGCATCCTTGGGGACTGCATCAGGAATTGCTGTTCTGGTCTTACGAATAGGAATGTTCCAGTGAAAGAGGCCAGTGCCCTGTTCCAGCCAACTCTGCAGTGCCCTGTTCCAGCTCCTGTCCCACCTCTGCTAGCAAAGGGGCTGAGTCTGGAGAAGAGCTGAGCACTTGCAGCGTGCCTGGAAATCCCCAGGCACATCAGGTCTATACAAACAAGGGGATTCCTTTGTAAAAGGTAGGGGGCCGTCAGTACTTCTGAATCATGTCCCTGTTTGGTCTCTTCTAATTTATCTAGTCTGTTTTGAAGTTGTTGGGGGGAGGGGGAGCTTTCTGCTGCCCCCTCGCAAAAATGAGGCTTCTGCACAGAAACAAAGCTTCTGGACATACACGTTGTGCCAGTGTATAAATCACAGGCCTTGCTAAGTGAAGGCTCTCCTCTAAATCCCATGCTGAATCTCTCGCGCTGCCTGAGTCATCAACTGTGTCATTCCTGAGGGATCCTGCCAGGCAGGGCCATAAACCATCCAGCTGCTGAGCACCTCCTTGAAGGTATACTTGTTACTGTGCATTTTACCTGGATTGCTCAACAGCACCTATTTCTCTCCATTCAGCAAAGGCTGATAGGAAATATTACATCTTCCAGGCTCAGGAATTTGTAGCTTTCCTGTCTGGCCCTGTTTCACTCAGGGGACAGGGTACCCTACCCTGAAGGCAGAACAAAGGGCATTTGTCCATTCAACCTAGTCTATTTTCCCTTTCTTGTCTCCAGGGATAGGTTCTTTTATTCCCTTTCTTTTCCATAGGAGACCATAGCGGTTTTTCCAGTGTGCGGATACTGTCAAGAATACAATAGCAATTCATTCGTGCACCCCTCCTGTTTCACATCCTTCTCCCACACTTCAAGGAAAAGGAGAACAGAGCCAAGAAGGCCCAGCAACATGCAAGCACCCAAACTTATTTTCACCAATCACTATTTTCTACCCCAGAGCCATCTGTGCCACTTATTTTCCCTTCCAGTAGGATGCCATGGTGCCATACAACTACACAGCCATTGTCATTTCATTGGTCTTGCATGCACACGCTTCTGAGGTACTGTAAGAGTTAAATATTGGAACCCGTGTCTCACAGGACAGCCTGCTGCAAGTGGGAGAAGATGCTCTGCTATGCATGTAGTTGCCGTTAGATGTCTCTAGCCCCCTGGTCTTGGAAACGGAGGCAGTCAAGCATGACCGTGGTTGATAGCAGAAGATGGAATTGAAAAGCGGTCATTAATCCTCCTAGTTAGCAAGCAAAGACTGATATCAAGTGTCCAACTGCTTGGGAAGGAGCTCTTGTACTTCTAACTAAACTTCTTTTAAATCAAGGTCCTCTTTGACCTTTGGTGGACCTGGCCTTGCTAAAGGAAGCAGTCTAGTATTCTGGTGGAAACAGGCAGTGGTGGAAAGCATGCTGAGACCAGAGTGCTCTGCATGTTATAAACATGGGCCTACAGAATCTGCTTCACAATTGTTAAGGAGGCTGTAGTTATTTTCCTCAGTTTAGTTTGCTTATTTAAACAGCACAATAGATTTTCCCTGTGTGATTAAGAAGGATTTTCCAAAACAATAAGGCTTACATTTCCAGAAAGACTTACCAAGCCAAGCAAAGCTAAGCAAAGCCAAGCTTCTATTATCCTAGCTGGGGCTGGAGTAGACCTTTAATATGGATCAGTTTGTTATTTCTATTTTCTATATGAATAAAACAGCCCAGACCAAAGTGGAATGACTTGCCATGGCTACCATGCAAGTTAATGGCAGAGCTGAAATTTGACTAAATGCTCCGTCTGGTCAGTTTATCTCTAGTATTTTTGTGCAGCTGATCACAGAAGAGAATGACATATCTGTTCTTTGCTGTGGGCTCACTGAAAGTAATTAAGAGTGGCAATAGACATTGAGATGAATGAAGGTCTCAAAGGTAAAGAGGCATGGATAGGAAAAACTGCAAAGTATTAATTACATTAATTGTGATCAATTAGAGAAAACTTTTCCCTCCCCCTCTTCTCTGAGCAAAAGGGTTTTGGAAAACTTGACTCATGAACCATGTCTGGTACTTGGCAAAACCTCATGGGCACAAAGCTAACTGGAAGAGCCAAAGCAGCAAAGCTAGACCAGCAGCAGATATAAGAACAGCTCCACCACCACAAAGCAGAAGGCTGTTTCCACCGAGCACCCAAAAGTGGAGGCCTGGGGGTGAGTGTAAGTCCATGGCCAAGGTCTGCTCCCTTTCAGAAGGCTCTCCCCCTTCCCTGCCTGCTGCTGGCACTGACTACGCCCAGGCAAAGGGAACACTCACACCGGTGCTGCCCCTGGGCTTTCATTCCCATACCATGCGTCTCAGCATCCTGGACCTTACTCGTGTGACCACTGTGGACACTGGCAACCCTGATAAGGAAAGTTCCCTCACAGGCAGGCTCAGGCCAGATGAGTTGTATTTGGCTGCATCAAACTTTAAATCACTAGCTATGAACAGCTGCAGGGCCACATAAATAAATAATCATTTCAAAATTTTCAGATAAATGCTGAACTTCCTGTAAAATAGAATTAACGAAGACAAACGAAGCAAATTTTACGTGTTTGAGATTTATGGTCTATGCAATGACCTTCCTTTGAAACAGTGTCAGTGTCATTCCCCTTGCTGACTGAGCGCGCACAAGCACACAGGCTGTCTCTGCAGCTCTGCTAGCACATTTCTTTCTGTTTTTTTCTCCATCCTGATTTATAAGGATGTTCCCTATCTTCATGCCTCAGGGAACACATCGGACTTCCAGTAAACATACACAATGCAGTTCCTTTTTTCCCAAGAACCAAAAGGAAAAGGCTCCTCCCCACAAAATAAACAACCCACCCATTCCCTCAAGCAAATACATAGAGGAAGAGATGATAAGCTTTGTGTTGCGCCTCACAGATCTTCAGGCTGCTGCCTTCTATAGTGAAGAGCTCTATTGATGAGGGTCATCATGCCATGGGTCATCCCAGGTGAGGTCTGGGACTCTCAGTCCCAGGAGTACCTGATGCCTGGTTTCTCCCTTACCCCCCTGCCAGAAAGACAAGCATTTTACACGAGGGCAATATTACACCGCAGGAGCTAAGCATTACACACTGTACTCCATGGTCTGGAGGAGCTGATCCAGTTCCTGTTGAGCTGGTACCATATGGCTGATGGCTGAAATGTCTTTTAAACTAATAGCATGATGTGGGTTTGATTGCAAAAAAAAGGAAAAAAAAAAAGAAATCCATTCACCTAGGGACCTTGAAACTTGTCCACTTTGCCTTACAAGCTGACCCTAAGACCATTAAAGTAAGTTTAAAGTCCCCCTTTAATTTCATCAAACTTCAGATTGGCCCTTGGAAAATGCTTCAATTAACCTTTGTCAGGTTCCATGTTTGTATTGAAAACTAAATTCATGTTAGTTTTGTGCAGTTCCCACTTTTATAACAAATGTTCTTCACCTCCTTGTTTCCAATGAAGGGATGTACTCTGGCCCTACAGACCAAGTAGAGCCTTAGGTGGAAGGTAAATCAGTGGCCACATGGCACCTACACTTTAGAAGGATGCCATAGCAATGTCAAAATCATAGCGGTTATTTACTAGAAGGTCCCCAGATCACTTTTCACCACAGGATGGTCTGCTCATCCCTCTGCCCTCCATACAGGAGCAGTCCCATTATTGGTGAGCAACACTGGTCTCACTGACTGTGGAGAGAGACAAAGGGAATAGAACATCACAGTAAGAAAAGCTAATGTCTAAAATACAGGCAATAACACACTCATCCAGGCCCAGCCACAGAAACAAGAAACCACAGGAGAACCAGTTGCTACTAATCAACTGGTAGAAGACAACTGTGTGCACGACTGCTCTTAGGCCGCAGCAAAATGAGGTTGTCCATATTAGCACAGACCTCTCTCATCTTCCATGGAAGATGCAGAGATCCCAGCTTATCCCATATATACCACTGTGCAGATCTGCAGGGACAGTTTCCATGGATCAGGAGACACCTGATAATCTGTTACCCAGAAGTAAATTCTTCATGTTCTTGGGATTGAAAGGTGCTCTGCAATGTTTTGGAGCATACTAGGCTTTCTGCCTAGCACTCAGATGCTGTTTACCTCTTTTTAATGCCCTCTTACTCTTATTTATTTTTAAGAATATGATCAGAATTGCAGCTCCTAATAGTTTTTATTAACTGACATCTCTTGTTATTCAGCTTCTGGCTGGAGAGATTATTTCAGAATAACCTTAACACTTGCCCCTCTCTTCACTCCAGTTTGAGGACTATGGGTTTTGGGAGTACTCGTTTCTGAAATGGCTGTTTGGTGGTATCTCAGAGTGGGGACAAATCAATTCCAGATGGGCTGTGGAAACTCTTCCTTCAAAACACCAATATTAATCAGTCTTCAGCCCTTATGTTTTGTATTGCAGCTGCTTGTCCCCCTCATCTCACCAGAAATGTTTAAAACCACAAGAGCCTAAATTAGCTCTCAAGGACACAAGCTCTACATCATATTCCCTTCCATTCAATTTTGATTACATTCTGAACAGTTTTGGCTCAACAATATCCCTGTACTCCTGTCCAGTGCTTACACAAGATCAGCCTGCAAAGCGCATCTTCTGGTGACAACTTGGGTTTCTCATTTGTAGTCCACAAAGGGTCATGATGTGAAGACGTTTGACTGGCTTTGGTGCCTTCTAGAACAAAGTCTTGCACAGGCAGAAGCCACAGGACGTGTCAGCCTCTCAGTGTGTCTGAGCAGAAAGGCAGCGTGGATAGCACATGGC